CGCGTGAGAGTGTGTGAGAGAGAAAAATGACAGGCCCTGAATATTGGGCGCCCTCACTTTAAATCAAGATAAAAGACTGAAGTGGAAAATGAGAGTCCAGAGAAGCCCCGGACGGCTCGGGGCGCTAATGGAAACACATGGCTGCCGGCTGCGGGCTTGTCAGCTTCCCCCGGCGCTGCCATTCCCGTCTGATAATCCGGCCTGCCATAAAATTAGACTAGCAAATACCTCCTGACAAAGATGCATGTTTCTCTCTATTGTGCCATCATAAAAAAAACTCCGCTGGTGACTCGGGGAGCCGCAAACTTCAATTTAAATTTACAGTGCTGCGGAAGGAAAGTGATATGCACTCAAAAATTTTAATAACCTATTAAGTTACGACTTCAATTTCATTTTATGAATATTTTCCTTGGGGAGCACGGCTATCACAGAGAAAGATAGAAATTTAAAAAAGATAAATAGTGCCATTAATCTCCAACATTTCTCTTCCATTATCCTTGAAAATTAGGAGTTATTTTTGTTCAGATCTTCATGTAATTAGCTCCCTCCACTTGATTCACTAGCCAGAAAATGACCATGTTCAGAAAATTAAAAATTTGTCATTAAGTGGAATTTAACATAATATCATTTATCTTTATCTATTCCCCAGCTGACAGCAGGAAGCCTTGGCTGCCTTACCGGCTGGTGTGTCAGAGTGGGGAGGGACTGCTCCGGGAGAGACACTGGGAGAGACAGAGACAGAGACCGAGGGAGGGAGAGAAGGCCAGCTGGGAGGTGGCCGAAGCGGGAGTGAGGAAGGAAGGGAGGTGGCCTCGGAGCTGAGGTGTCAGCCAGCGTGAGGAGGCTAAGGGCCGCTGGTGTCAGCAGGGCGTGGGCCCAGGGTAGGACGAAGGGGAGGAGCCGGGGACAGGACAGGAAAGCCAGAGGGGACATCAGTAGCAGGTGCCAAAAGAGGAAGGTAGCTGGTTAGTGGGGCTGGGGTGAAGAAGTGACCTGGGAGGGCAGAAACCCAGCAGAAGGAGAGGAACCTCCAGAAATGGGGGGTTGGGGTTGGGGATGGGGTGGGAAAGCTGGGGGATCATTGCCCTGCCCATCCAGGGGAACTGGACCCCGTCATCTTGGCCAAGTCTGGCTCCCTGGGAAGACACAGACAGAGACAGGATAGGAGGTAAGAAAGCAGTGACAGCCTGCAGGCAGGGACGGAGTGAGGCAGCCCGCAGATGTGAGTCAGAGAGACAGAGATAGAGAAGATGAAAACAGGGACAGACGGACAGACAGACAGGAGGGTCTCCAGGGGTGAACTTGGGCCCCAAGAAGTCTCCATGTTCGAGGCTTCAACTTCTCTCAGGGGCTGCATGGCTGTCCTCCCCCCTCCTCTAAACAGTCCCACTCTAGTTCCCCCAAGTCAGAAATCATCCAATAAACCACCCAGACCTAGTCCTGGGTGGAGAGAGCTGCGGCCGAGCCTGAGAGACTGAGAATTGGATAAAGGGATTAAACAGCGGCACATTAGTGAGAGATTTAGAGTGTAATAAACCCATTTCATAATAATATGTGCGTTGGGGCCGGCGATCCATCATCGCAGGAGCCTGTCTGTGGCGGGGGGAGCGCTGACCTGCGGGGAGGAGACCCGGACGATGGCTGAGGTTGTTCTCAGGGTCTCGGGATGTGGGCGAGGGGTGCACACTGGCCTGTGGGGCCGTGAGAGGGGCACAGAGATGCTGGGGGCACCTTTAGCTCCACTTGCCCCAGTGACCAACCTGAGGATACAGCTGGGGGGAGTCTGGGCTCCAGAAGAGGCCTGGGAGCCCCTGTCCCCTAGCCTGGGACCTCTGCAGTAGGGTAGGAGTCCTCTGGGGGCAAGTCTGAGCTGCAGAGTCCACAACTGACAACCAGGAGCCACAGTTTGAAGACTCCCAAATAAGCCCCTGGCTCCTTCCTGCTAAGATGTTCATCCACTCTTTCCCCCAAAAGAATTCCTACCCACCCAGAGAGGCCACGCCCTCCACCAAGTCTTCCCTGATCACCCCACCCCACTATCTGCCCTCCAGAAACCCCTGCATTTCTTGCTTAAAGTGCTTAGCCTTCAGAGTTAGGGTCTGGATATGAATCCTGGTTTTGTCATTTACTAGCTATCTGATCTTGGCAAGTGACTTCACCTCTCTCAGCCTCAGTTTCCCATCTGTCAAATGTAGATAATTAGGCCTACAGCATAGGATTGTTATGAGGGCTAACTGAGATAATGGGTGTGGAATTATTCTATAATGCAGAAAATTCCAAGAAAATATTATTATTGCCATGATTCCCCCACATTTGGCCCTCCACTCCCAATCTGCCTTGAGATATCACTTGACTTATTGTTGGGGAGAGTTTCATCTCCCTAACTGGACTCTGAGCTGTTTCAGAACCAGTAAGAAGTGGCATGTTGGTTATATGACTGAGTATCTGAACTGCACTGTTAATAGGGCGGAGCAAAACATTCTCCTACTGTTTATCTCCATTGAGGAAACCAGCAGCAGGGATGATAACCAAACTTTCCCCTGGAAAAGGGATTGAGAAACAGGGATAGACCCAGTTGGGTCTTTGTTTTCAGTCTTGAGACACTGTGGGGTGGGGAGACCTGAAGATGTTGAGAGCAAATGGAGATGCTTTCCTAGGACTAGAGAGGCCATCTTCATCTTCTTCCATTGTCCCACATACTGTAGCCCCTTACTCCCATCCCAGAGGGGCCAGTGGGCGTGGCCTTCAGCTCTGTCTGAGATGCAGAAGTGTCTCCCCCAGGAGGGTAAGTGGGGTCATCCCCAATCCCAGTTTCAACCAGTCCCCAATCTGCTCTCAACCTTGAGTCAATGTAGAATCAAACTCTGGTTAATTTCTAGGCATACAGGTTCTCCATGGTAACTCCAACCCAATTAGTGGAGCCTTCCTGAACCCTCAATTCAGCCAAAGTCATTTTCAATTCTTCCAGACTCGAAAGTTTCACTGATACCAGCCCTGTCCCCTGTCACCCCCAAATGACTGGTCAGGGGCATCATTGGTCTGTCTGCCCCCCACCAAAAGCCAATTAAATGTCATTGCCAGCTCTACCAGAGGCCTTCCAGATCCCACAGAAGCGTAGGGATGCAAGACTGGTTCTGTGCTTTCTCCCAAAGCTCAAGCGAATACAACCTTTGCTTCTTTCTGTAAATATTTATCACGTATCTGCTAAAGCCAAACACAAATACCTATGACACAAAGTAGTAAATGTGCCCTAAGTTCCCTGTAATACAGAGTGCTCAGGTGTGCCAGGGAGGGACAGATCTCTGTGAGCTGGGAGGGTCAGAGAAAGCACTGATGGAGGAAGTATCACCAGAGTTGGGCAGGTGTCGGGAAGAGCTTCAGCAGGTAGAGCTTGGGGGGAGGGCTTGGCCAGAAAAGAGAGATGCAGAGCAGAGGTGAAGAGAAGGAGGAAACCAGTATTTAAGGATCATCTACTCTGTAATGAAAACATGCTGGAAGCTTTCATCTCCTAGCATCTCGTTAACCCTTCCCAACATCCTTAGAGATAGGTGTTATCATCTCAGTGTATATAGATAAGAAACTGGAGTTCAGGGAATTTGAAAAACTTGCCCAAGATCACACAGCTAGTAAGTCGCAGAGCTGGACTAGAACCTGGAACTGGTTGCCTCTGAAATCAATGCTTTTTCCTCTCTACACTGTGGTGCCAGTTGTGATTGGGAAAAGAGGAGCAGCCAGTTTATCTGGAGCATGAAATGTGTGAAAGGGAAGTGAAAACTGCCCTGAGCTGGTCTCTGCCTACAAATGTGCTTACCAGGTCTGCGACTGCCAAGGCCATTCCTACAGATGCTTGGTGCAAGGAGAATCTCTATGTGTGGCTTCCTTGGTGGCCGATGGATGCCCTTGGGAATTCAGGAGAAGCAGGGACACGTGGAGAGGTGATGCTCCAACCACGTGCTCCTTTAGTGACCCAGCATTCCCGACCTTTCCCTCTATCCTCTGAGCTACCAGAATCTTCCTTCCATGTTGCTACCCTCTGGACCAAGTCCCCTGTCCTCTACTCATCGTCACCACCCCACTCCCTGATACATTTGCAGCCTCCACCTCCCATTTCCTCTGTCCTCCCTCATCCCTCTGTTCCCGCTCTCCACATCACCAATGACTTCCTCATCAAAAATCTCTTATCAGCCAGGTGCAGTGGCGCATGCCTGTTGTAGTCCCAGCTACATGGGAGGCTGAGGCAGGAGGATCACTGGAGCCCAGGAGTTTGAGGCTGCTGTGAGCTATGATGATGTCATGGCACTCTAGCCTGGATGACAAAGACTTTATCTCAAAAAAGAAAAAAAAAGATGTTCTCTTTGAAACCTTAATAAAAGGTCATATGTTCACAGAAATGTTATAAATTGAACTTTAACACATTAGAGATTACCATCATGCTATAAGCATGTGTGCTAATTGCATATTTTTTCCTAACAAGTAAAGCTAAAATTCAAGCCTTCATAATACATGCCAACAAAATACTGTCTTTCTCAGTTTTATATATTGGGTTTGTTTGAAAAAGATGTGTGCGGCAGCCGGGGGGGGGGTTCTCTACTAAAAAAAAGCTTGAAATTGTTAGCAAAGTGGAAATAGTACACACACTTGGGTCCCAGTCCCAAGCATACTACTTCCTTCTGCAGGTTTCTTAAGACTTTGGGCTTCTGTTTCCTCATAGATAAGTGTGTGAGTGTATATATATCGGCCACACAGAATTAACAATAGGCTTAAATAAAAGACTATATGAGAAAGTCCCTGGCACTATACTGGCATCAAAGGCTAAGGCTTACTGAGTACTAATTATATTCTAGAACCTGAGCTAAGAGTTTGCATATATTATTGCATTTCACCCTTGCAACAACCCTGTAAAGTAAATTTAACTGTTAATTTCATTTATATAGGATGACTCTGAGGCTTAAAGCGGTTAAGTAATTTGCCAAAGGTCACAAAACCATAGGCCATGGAGTTAGGTTTTGAATTTAGGCAGCCAAACAGTAGAGTCTGTATTTTTCAAAAAATATTGAGCACTTACTAGGTACCAGACACCGTTCTAAGTCCTTTTACATGTTCTAATTCATAGAATTCTCACAACTACCATAGCAGGTTGTGTATCACACAAGATTTGTGCAATGTGACTTTGTACAAGAAATGAAGTCTATTTCCCTTCCCTTCAAATCTGGGCTGGCTATGGGATTTTTTGACCAACAGAATGCAACAGAAGTGACGCTTTCTGGGTTTAGGCCTTAAGAGACCTTGCAGTTTCCATATTCACTTTCTTGGAAACCAGCTGCCATCCAGAGAAGTCTGAATTCTCCAGCTGGAGAAGCCGGGGAGGGAGAGAGAGGCCTTGCAGGGTGAGAGGCCCCATGGAGGAGAACCAAGGCTTTCCTGCCGGCAGCCAGCAGTGACTGCCAGACGTCAGTGGGCCCATTCTGGATGCTGCAGCCTCCACTGAGTTTCCAGATGATCGCAGCTGCATGCGTGAACTCAGCCAGCACCACCAAGTGCAGAAGAAATGTCCAGCTGAGCCTAGCCAACCTACAGTCATAAAAAAAAAAAAATGTTGTATTTAGCTAGTAAAATCTGGGGTGGCATGTCATATAGCAACAGATAACCAAAGCAAATGAGAAAACTAAGACATAGAGAGGGTTAAGTAACTCACCCAGGTTTAGGCCACTGATGAGCGACAAAGCCAAGGCTTGCATGGGGGCATTCTGGCTCCAGAGACCACATGAATAACCCCGAGGGTGTGACAAGCTGAAAAATGGCCCCTCCAAGGTGCCCATGTCTTAATCCCCAGAACCTGTGACTATGTTACCTTACATGGTAAAAGGACTTTGCAGATGTGATTATAATAATAATTTTTCCAACAGGACATTATCCTGTATTATCCAAGTTCGCACAATGTCATTACAAGGGCCCTTCTAAGAGGGAGGCAACAAAGTTGGAGGAAGAGGTGATGTAACGCAGGCCACAAGCCAAGAAATTAGGGCAGCCTTCAGGAGCTAGAAAGGACAAGGAAACAGATTCTCCTCTAGCCCCTCTGGAAGGAGCCGCCCTATTGACACCCTGACTTTAGCACAGTGAGACTGATTTTGGACTTCTGATCCCTGGGACTGTAAGATGATCAATTTTGTTGTTTTAAGCCACCAAGTTTGTGGTAATTTGTCACAGCTGCAACAGGACACACACTGGGCCTCTTCTACTTAAAGGAAGCTGGATCCTTCCCACGGGCTCCAACCAGGCCAGTCTCCTTATTGTCTCCTAACACATTTGGTGTCTCAGCGCCCCTCTAGTTCTTGAAATCTCTATTCTGTCTATTTAATTCATTCCTACCCACTTCATCCAGGAAGTCTTCTCTGAACATCCTCGATCACACTGCTCTGTCCTGCCTCTGCAGGGCTTGATGTTTCACACCTTCTTACTCAGCACTTAGTAATATCAGTGCTAATGTGCTGGCAGGCAGCCCAGTGACATTCTTATGAGTGTGAGTCATCGAATCCAAGGACATCTGGCTGGAGAGGCCCTTTGAGAGTCTATCCCTTCATTTTATGGATGATGAAACTGAGTCCCAGAGAAGAAAAGAAAGCCACAGAACCAAGGTCACAGAGCCAGGGCTCAAAGACAGGCCTTCTGACCTTAAATTCGTAAGCTCATTCATTCAGCAACCACTTATTGGGCCCTTGCTAAGCTGGGTGCTGTGCAATCACTGATAATCATAGGCAGATAAGGTCCCTGCTCTCCTAGGGCCTCTGATATGTGAGAGAGAGAAACATTTAGGCAAAATCACACAGATATATAATGAATCCCCATGAGAAATGTTAGGAAATAAAGTTCCTTAGAACAAGCTGGGGGAGTATAAAACTTAGGGAACTATTTTAAGCTGAAAAATCAGGGAAGGCTTCTCTGAGGAGATGATCATTGAGCTGAGCTGAGAATAATGTTGAATAGAGTTAAGTAGGTCTTTCTAGGGGGAGGGGAGAGAAGAGTGTTTTAGGCAGAAGGAATGATATATGCAAAGGTCCTGGGGCAGGAGGCGGCAAAACAGGGGGGGGGAAGGCAGCCAAGATGCCTGGAGAGTGAGAGTGACAGGAATAGAGATAAGGGCTGAAGCTACAGAATGTGACAAGGGTGAGACCACTCTGGCCCAGGAGGCCATGGTGAGGTCTTGATCTTAGTCCCAACGGCAATGGGAAACCACAGGAGGGTTTTAAGCAGGGCAATGACATGATCATATTTGAATTTTATGGTGTTTTCCTCCCGCCAGGGCCTTTTCTTATCTCTATAGGCATGTTAGAGATCATTATTACAGGGAGTTTTATGCCACTCTGTATTCCGCTCGGTACCTAGCCTTGTACGAAGCAGGTGCTCCATAAATATGTGTTGATTAACCTCTCAGCAGCATGTGATGCTGTTGATCATTCCCTCCCTCTCGACGCGCTCTTTCTTTGGTTTCTGCGCTACTGCACACCCAAGCTTCTCTCCTTCCCCTGACCACGCCACACCCTCCATATGTAAGCATCTCTCCCTGTTTCATCTTCCCCCTCTTTCTTTTTTGTCCACACTCCCCACCAGGTCATCTTGTTGTCTCTGACAGTAGTGATCTCTTTCTTCTGGACAGCACTTCAGTTCCACAAGGGCTCAGACCTTGTCTGTCTTGTCACTGTTGCATCCCCAGAGCCTGCCCCAGCACCTGGCACATAGTAAGCACTCAGTAAATTACTTGATGAGAGTACGTACTGTATGATTCCGTGTATATGAAGCTCAAGCCCAGATCAAACTAATATATAGCAATCAATGTTAGAGTAACAGTCACGTCTGGGGAATAATGACTGGGAAGGAGCACAGGGAACTTGGCAAGACGAGGTTGCAAACCTTGATCTGAGTGGTGGTGACACCAGTGTCTGCAGACATAAAGGCTCACTGAGCTGTACACTTAGGGTCAGTGTCCTTTACTGTATGTGTGGGTTATCTCCAGAAAAACAATGCAAGCTCAGCACTCTGCTGAGAGGGAATTCTCTATCTCTAACTGCTGTGTTGGAAGCATCCACCCACCTTAAAACCCACCGTGCTGTCTTTCCCAGCCTCCCAGACCAGCTCTCTCGGGTTCCTACTTCCAGTGTTCTCACCATGATGCTTCCAATTATTCAGTTTCCAAACCTCAGGGGCCTTCTTGCCCCCACACCACCCCTTCTTATGTTCCTCCTCACCCAGCTCTCTAAGACAGATAAACACAAGTGATCCATGGCTAAACAGAACTTTCAGGTGGCCCCATGACTTCTGTGCCCTGATGCTGCTACTGAGGTTATGCTATCAATATATGGCGAGAGGGAGAGAATCTGGGTGGGCCTAGTCTAATCACAAGAGCACTTTCATAACAGAGGTTTTTCTCTGGCTGCTGGCAGAGGAGGAAGTTGGAGATATCTGAAGCATAATAACAATGTACCATCACAGGCTTTGGAGCTGATCAGAGAGTGGTTTTTAGGAGCTGAGAGTGACCCCCCACTGATAGTGATCAAGAAAACAGGGACCTCAGTCTTACTATAGCAAGGAACCAAATTCTGCCAATGACAGAAATGAGCATGGAAGCAGATTCTTTCCCAGAGCCTCAGGTAAGAGTCCAGATGAGCTGATACCTTGATTTCAGCCTGTGAGACTAAGAAAGAAACCAATCATGCCTGCCCAGACCTCTAACCTACAGACTATAAGATTAAAAAAAGAAAAAAAGTGTGTAGTTTTAAGCCACTAAGTTTGTGGTCAACTGTTACAGCAGCAATAGGAAACAAATACATATCCCAAATCCCGTCTGTCCACAATGGCCTTCATGCCCATCCTGTCCCCTCCATTCCTTTGGTCTGGACATGGCTCAGACCCCCTGATCTCACATTTGCCAAATTGAAATATTCATCTCTGAACCTCTCTCCCCAAACCATCCATCTTGCTCACTGCCACCAGATTAATTTTCCAATGTCATGACCCTGATCATATCGTTCTCCTGCTCAAAAAGCTTCCATGGTAGTGTAGCTTGGTGGCTATACTCTGGAACCAGAATGCAAGGTGTAAAGCCCAGCTCCACCTCTTAGTGGTAGGTGACCCCAATCAAGTTGCTGAACCTATCCATAAATTAAGAGTAATAGTACCATCCTCATTGGGTAGTTGTAAGTATTAAATAAGATAAACATGCAAAAACTAGTTGTGCATGGCCCAGCAAGGGCAGGCACGCCACTCTCTGAATGTTGGTTGTTGGTATATCCCATCAGTGGCTCCAGGTGGCTACATAGCCGGCCTGACAGCCCTGCCCACATGCACATCTCTGCAGCCTTTCCTTCCACTCCTCCTCTGGTCATCCCATCCTTTCCTTCCATCCTCAGCACCACTCCCCTCATTCACATTAGCATCTTCCATTCCAAGGGGCCTCCTCACTGATTCACGTATCTCCTCACTCTCTGCAGCCAGCAAGGACTGCTATAAACACAAGCCTGATCATGTCACCATGGGCTTAAACCCTTGTATGGCTCCCAATGCTTTCAAGACAAAGTTCTGACCATAGCCCGCCAGGACCTGGACAGCCATGTCTGCCAACACCTCCAGCCCCTTTCCCTTTGCCCCCTGCACGCACCCCTCATACTCACCAGGCTTCCTTCTGCCACTGGGCCATCCACCTTTTCCCTCTTCCCTCTGCCTGCTTAATACCTATCTGTCCTTCCAGTCTTGGCTTAATTCCAGGGGACATCCTCTGGGAAGCCTTTCTTGACCTCCCTGACTATGCCAGGCTCCTCTATTTGAGGCTGTCACAAGGCACAAACTGCTCCTGTGTACATATTTCTCTGTGAACTTCGTCAGGCACAGTGCCTGGCTAGAATCTGTGCCCAGTAAATGCCTGTGAAGGGAATGAATGAATGAAATGAGTGCAAGGACTCTGCTTCAACTCAACTGGGTTGCTTTTCCCACAGATGCTCTCGCATCTCCATGCTTTTGCTCTCTCATGTCCCCGTACTGATGTGCTCTCTTGCCAAGTCTACTCTTCTGTAAATCCAACCCACCCTGGCAGTCTCTGCCAAGTAATCTTGACCAAATATTTGAGCCTGCGGTGGCTTCTTCCTCTACCTCTCTCCCTGCCCCACCAAAATCATCTAGAGTCTGTAATTTCTTTCTGATTGTGAAAATGATGCATGCACACTGTAGAAATTTTAGATAACACAGAAAATGCAGAAAATATAAATGAAAAAATAAAACATTTCAGATACTACTATCCAGAGATAATTGTCACTTTTATTGTAGAATAAGCCCACCCATTTTTCTATACATAATCATGGACATATTTTGGGGAACATTTTTTTTAACCTCACAACAAATCAATGAGGTTCATACTGCTCTACCCATTTTATATATAAAAAAATAAAAATGTTCAGATAAACTCAACAACTTGCTCAAGATCACAGAACAGGCAAGGAACACAGAAGCCAAAAGAACAGAACTGAAATTGCAACCCAAGCTCCAGTCTCCCTGGCTCTCTCTGCTCTGCCCACCATCTCTCCCTGCCCCTCCACACTCTCCATCTCCTCCTCAAGGGAGGCAATGCAGAGCTTTTACACATTTGCATCATAAACAGCTTCCAAATCTCTGGGTGCCACCCCTGCCCTGTCCCACACTAGCAGCTTTCCCTCCTTTTCTCTCTTTCCTTCCCTCCATTCTGGCCACCCTGCTCCAAATGTAGGGGTAAGGGTGGAAAAGGAGAACCGAAGTGTGCACATAGGATCCCAAAGTCCCTCACTGCTGACTCTAATGTGCCAATGCCAGGGATGGGCTTCCATAGAAACAGATTCCTCCCCCTGACCACCATGGAATAGCACCAGGCCATTATACCCCCAAGTTCTCCCCAAGTTCTCCCCAAGAGCCCTCCACCTGCTGGCTCTTTGAGTGTTCCCATGTGGATTCATACACACAAATATTTCTGCCCATGTAGACACACATCAGATACATGGCCACTTAGGCGGTGGCAGAGGGAGTCTCTTGTGTTAAGGATTTTTTTTTCCAGCTCTAAAACTGAGACATGGGTTCCCACCACCACACACACCCTCCCCAATTCCTTTATTTGTGTGTGTGTGTGTGTTTTTGTTTTTTATTTTTTTTTGAGACAGAGTCTCGCTTTGTTGCCTAGGCTAGAGTGAGTGCCGTGGCGTCAGCCTAGCTCACAGCAACCTCAAACTCCTGGGCTCAAGCAATCCTCCTGCCTTAGCCTCTCAAGTAGCTGGGACTACAGGCATGCGCCACCCATGCCGGCTAATTTTTCTCTAATATTAGTGCCAATACAGCGGGTGGCTTCCAATAAGAAACAGATTCCTCCCCTGACCACCATGGAGTAGCACCAGGCCATTATCTCCAAGGTATGATCCATGTGGATTCATACACACAAATATTCTGCCCATGTAGACACACATCAGATACATGGCCACTTAGGCGGTGGCAGAGGGAGTCTCTTGTGTAAGGATTTTTCTTTTTCTAGCTCTAAACTGAGACATGGGTTCCCCACCAACACCACACCCCTCCCCAATTCCTTTATTGTTTTATTTGTGTGTGTGTGTGTGGTTTTTTTTTGAGACAGAGTCCCGCTTTGTTGCTTAGGCTAGAGTGAGTGCCGTGGCGTCAGCCTAGCTCACAGCAACCTCAAACTCCTGGGGTCAAGCAATCCTTCTGCCTCAGCCTCCTGAGTAGCTGGGACTATAGGCATGCACCACCATGCCCGGCTAATTTTTTCTATATATATTAGTTGGCCAATTAATTTCTTTCTATTTATAGTAGAGACAGGGTCTCGCTCTTTGCTCAGGTGGTTTTGACTCCTGACCTCGAGCAATCCGCCCGCCTCGGCCTCCCAGAGTGCTAGGATTACAGGCGTGAGCCACCGCGCCCGGCCTCCCACACTTTTTCTGATCATCCTACTGAGGCCATCTTCACTCCATACATATGAGTGAGCAAGTGTGTGCATGTGTGTGTATGTGTGTACCTACCATGCATGGATGTGCACTGCTTCCCTTTCCTCCTCCCCCATGTGAGGTTCACATATCTACCATTTTCAGAGACTGCAGACCTTGCCTCCTCCACCAGCCTAGTAGGATTCTGCAGTCACTTTAAAGCCAAGGACTTTCCTTCTAGCCCTAGCTCTGCCATTCTCCAACTATGTAACTTGGATGAGTCATATGACCTCCCTGAGAGTAGATTCTGTCTCCTCCATGGAGCGAGTAAAGGTTGAAATGACTTGTTCAATGCTTGCCTTCCCAGACTATATGCTCCGTGAGGACAGAAACCGTCCGTGTTCACCACAGTGCCCAGCACACGGTACGGGCTCGGTAAATGCATGCTCTGAGAGTAGACGGGCGACAACTCCCTTGTCCACACCATCTCCCCCAGATCCTGCATCCTGATGGGCATTGGGAGCCTCTCGGTGGCCACTCATGAAAGAGAGGTGACACTAGGGAATAGGATCCTCCACTCCTGTTACCCCAAAGTCCCTTGGTGCACCTGGGCTTCAGAGCCTGAGACCTTCCCCAGCATCACATGCACAGCCTCCAAAGCAAGCTCCTGCAGGTTCTAGGCCAGTCTAGGCCTCTCCCTCAGGCCCCACTCAGGCCAAGGCCAGGCCCCAGACCCACTCCCTGCCCCCAGTCCAGCCTGAGAACACGGTGGCCAAACCCAGCCTGGCAGGCCTGGCCCATCAATCGTGCTCCCAGGGGTACAAACCAATTTCTCTTGCTTTCCTGAGCCGTCTCCCTGGCGGAGCCTGGAGGAGCCTTCAATCGCATTAATCCCAGCCTGGCGGCGGTGACGAAGACGGATTTCTCCACCAAACGATCCATTTGTATCTCTCGTGCACTCACTTGGTTTTTTCTGTGTGGATGTTCAAAATATCATGAAAAAGGCGTTAGCCGGGTAGCTGTGGCGCAGCGAAATAATAGAGTGATCCAGCAATGCGCTCCTGACCTTGCAGGACAGCTAATCCATCCGCACATCTATCTTAATTATTCCCGGTTACAAAAGAGAAACTCCACCATCCATTCATTCCAGGCTGGCAATTCCATTTTCCACCCCCACTCACGCCCCATTCTTTCTCCACCATTCCCCTGGCCAGATAGGCCCATTCACCGCAGCTACAACAGATCTCCCCATGCTGGCCAAATCCCCAATCTAGCCAGGCCTGAGCCCACCTCGGTGCAGCCCAGCCCCCCATCCGCGCACTGCTCCTTGAAATCTGAAGAGAGGTACCCAGTTCCCCTCCCCAGAACTCTAACCAATGGCCATTGGAGAAAGACCAACCACATCCAGGATTAAGCAGGGACACACACACACACACACACACACACACACACACACACACACACACACAGAGATATGCTCACAAAGGCAGCCAGAGACTCACAATCTCATCTAGACCTTGACCTCAGGCCTCCTCTCACACAGACATAGCAGACAGGCCCACCTCCATCCTCACCCCAAACCACACCATTTCAACTCTCCTGCTACCCCGGCACCGGCACCGACAGATGTTAGGATGGGCATTTTGACTGAGAGCAGGCCCCATGGTGGGTATCTTGCATTGTCTGTCTCCTACTCCCAAGTCAAAGACTCCACCTACTGTATCCTCTAAGGTCTACTCCTTAATACAACCTAGGCAAGCCAGTGCTGGGGTGCAAGGCTGAATGTGAGCAAGGAAGACAGCAAAAGAAGAGGAGGAGTGAGGAGGAAGAGTCTGACCAGAGATCCCGCAGGCAGGGGCAGGAGAAAAAGGAAGAAGGAAAGGCGCGGGGTGGTATGGTGAGAAGGTCACTGAGACAGCGTATAAAAGTGCCTGTTTGTGTGACACAGTTCCAGCTAATTGTACCAGATTCACTTTAGGGACGCCTGTGCCAGTCTCTAAAGCCCTTTCTAATTCTCTGCCTTAATGTATGATTTTCAGATCCCTCATTCTAATGATTTTAATGCAATCAGCAAAACTAGGCATGTAATTGTCTTGGCTCTGTGCTTGGCCGTGGTGGCTCCTGGGGACCCTGGCTCCCAGCTCCTGCGCTCTCCTCCTTAATCCTTCCCTCCCTCCCTCTTTACTCTTCACTTCAGCTTCAGTCAACAAGTACACACATCCCCCACTGACTTACGGTGGTTAGACTTACGATTTTTTTTGCTTTGTGATAGTGCAAATGCAATACACATTCAGTAGAAATCATACTTGGAGTACTCATAAAAACCATTCTATTTTTCACTTTCAGTACAGCATTCAATAAATTACATGAGATATTCAACACTTCATTATAAAACAGGCTTTGTGTTAGATGACTTTGCCCAGCTGTAAGCTAATGTAAGTGTTCTGAGCACATTTAAGGTAGGCTAGGCTTAGCTATGATGTTTAGTTAGGTGTATTAAATGCATTTTCGACATGACGTTTTCAGCTTATGATTGGTTCATCTGGGCATAGTCCCATTGTAAGTTGGGGAGCATCTTTACATAGTGAGACTTCAGCTCTTGGAGCTTCAAGGGAAACAGGAGATCCAATCCTGGGAAGCCCTGAGCTGACTGAGGAAGGGACACTGAGTGTGGGAGCAGTGGGGGCGGTCTGCGAGGCCAGACTGGCTGGATTACTGTGGTTAGAGAGGGAGGAGGCTTTCTGTAAGAGCTTGGTGGGCTTCTCCCCTTCCCAGAAGCAGCAGGCTGCCCGGGCTGGGCCTGTGGGGCAGTGTGCAGGGGAAGTGCCATTTGTCCTGAGACAATGGCAGAGAAGGGGTCTCCCAGCGGCTGTTGAAAGCCAATTTGTAGTGGTGACGGCCTGAGGTTGCTCCAAAGGCTGGGAACAGCTGGAGCTTCGGGTGACTGATGGGTGGGCCCAGGAGAGGGGCCATTGGTCTGGCAGACACAAAGGCCCCGATGGTGTGCAGGGTGGGACCCGTCAAAATCATTAAGTGCCTAAGATGGGAGCCCGCAGACTTCAGATGGGACCAGTGGGTTGGGGGAAGAGGTCAGGAGCCGGCTCCTCCCCTCCTGCAGCCCCTCCTCCACCCTCCATCCCCTCACACCCTGCTCTGGAAACTCGGCCACCCACACCCCCATTATCATCTGATTTGCATAGACACCACCACCACCAGTCTTTCAGGCCCTTCGCCTCTCTCCACTAAGAGTCCAGGCTCCAGTCCTATTGAGCAGCTCTGGCTCTGGGGCTAACTCAGGCCTAGCAAGGTCTCCCAGGCCTCTTTGAGGACTTGCCCACCCTCAGGCATTGTGTCCTCCAGATGGTGACCTCATCCACTTCTCCGGAACAGGGCATTCTCAATTCAGGACCAGGAAAGTAAACCCCCCCTTTCCAAAGTGGGGAAACTGAGGCCCAGAGTGATGATTTGTCCTGCTTCTCCGTGTCTCCTTCCTCCACGTGGGAAATGCTTCTCCCACTTGCCCTGCCCCACGGGGTGGGGGCGGTGGTGCTAGGAGGAGCCCGCGCCCTCCCCGCCGATCCCCAGGAGCCCCTCCCCCCTCCGTGGCGCTCCCGGCAGGAGAGGGAAGCAGTGACCCGGCCAGGTGGTGATGATGCGGCCGGCCGCGCTGGTCACTCTTGGCCGCTCCCCGCGCGCAGCACGACCCCCCTCGCATGGGTCACGGCGCCGGCAAAACTCCCTGACACAGAAACGCCGCGGGGCCTGCGCGTGTCGGGAACAATCCTCCGCCTGATGGGAAGCGACAGCTCCGCCCCGCCTCCCCCGCTCCACCCTCCCGCGGCTCCTCCCTGCGCCGCGCCCGCCAGGGGCGCCCCAGCCGGCAGCCCGCCCGCCGCACGTCGCCACCCGCGCTCGGGGTGGCCCGGCCGGGGGTGGGACGAGGAGAGGAGAGGGGCTGCTCCCTAGCCGTGTGGCCCCGAGCTGGAGTGACGGGGACGAGGGGGAAGGAAGGGCACCGGCGAGGCACAGGGCAGGGGGAAGGGGCGGCCGCACAGTTTGTATCGTTAGACTCTGCGTCTGTTTTCACCGTGTTGACACAGAAAACAGGCTGGAAAGAAATAGCAACACGTAGCGGGGGCTCTCCCTGGCTGTGAGTTGACAGGTGGTGTTCCTTCCTTTTTGCTTGTCTGGCTCTCCCGGGCTTTCTTTGTCGTTTTGTGTGTATTTGCAGTAAACCTACTTTGTGCCATTCCTCCCCACCCACAAGGGCTATTTGAAGGAGGGTCTCACCCGGCTTCAGGCCCTGGAGCTGATCCAGCCCAAGGGAGGAAGCCAGAGCACTCTGGAAGGGCCCTGGCTGTCAGACCAGGATGGGAGTAACCCCTCCGGGACAGGTGACATTGGCCCTTCTCCCACTTCACCTGCAGAGGTTACACGGGTGTGAGGAGAGGCGCTGGCTGTAGGGGAAAGACTGAGCTGTGCAAAGCCCCTGAGCACTCCTCACTCAGAGACACCCGGGGGCGCACACCCAGACACACTCACCTGTAAGCATGTCCTTGTAGTCATAGGCACCAACCCAAGGACAGGAGCACTTGTGTCTCTTGTATGCACACACCCACCCTGTCCCTCACTCTGCTTGGGGGCCCCAGACAAATACATAGTCGTGTAGTTATTACCCTCCTGTTGTTATTCTTCCTTCAGCCCAGTGGTTAAGGGAGTGAGTGCCCCATCACTTCAATGCCCTCATTCGTTCTTCTCCAGCGTATTTTGTGCTCACCTTGACCCAACCTCCTTGCTGTGGGCCTCTCCCATCCCCAACCCCTAGGCTCCCACCTCACTTCTACACCTTGAGACATGAGGACCACCATATTTGGTCTGAAAGGTGCGGGGCCTACAGGAGAAAATAAGGAATCTTCCTACTCAACTCTACCAAATAAGAGTATGTGGGATCCCTGTGGGTTCCCAGGGCTGGGGGCAGGCCCCAGGCCTTCCACCCAGGAACCCCTGGCCCTGTCCAGCTCCCCCACAGAGCTGCCTCCTCTGCTCCTACCCCACTCCTACCCATCCTTTGTGGCCTAGCCTGGGTAGGCCAGGCTCCCCTGGGCCTCTTATCACTCAACTGACATTCCTTTTGTGCCTTCACCATTGATTCCCTCTTCATGATTGTGACTCCTGGGAGCTCCTATGAATCAGAGGTAGACCTCCTCTTCATCTTGCATCCCCGCCCCCACACATCAGCTGACTGCTTTCTGGATGAATGAATGAGCTGAGGGATGTCTGTGAATTTGGCTGTGTCTCTGCTGTTGAGGGTGACCGTGTGTGAGCAGAAGCAGCCACATGGGATAAGTGCCACTGCCTCTGTTTCCTTTGTGAAAGCCCTAACAACCAGTGCACTCCTGCCAACTGCCCTACAAGGGAGGTGTCCATTGGACAAAGAAAGGCTCAGAGAGGTTACCTTATTTTCCCAATGTCACAAAGCTTGACAGACCAATCAGACCCTAAGGCTAAGGATGCTAACTACTTCCACCTCCCTTCTGGCCCAGGATGGCACAGTGGTGAGGAAAAGCTACTTCCTGATAACCATGCTACCCCACCCCACCTCTCCAGAGGGAGGGGACCTCTGATCACCTTTTCTGCCCTCTCCATTATATCATCTCTGCCCAAGATCATCAACTCCTCAATGTTCCTTTGGCCTTGAACACCTTTCTAGGTGTTCTAGGAAGAAGAGACTACCGTCTTGTTTCTACCACTGACTAGCTGGCGGCCTCGAGCAAATCACTAATTACGAGTCCTCTCTGTCCTCAATTTCCCCAAGTGCATGTGTGTGTGTGGGGTAGGGCTGGAGTAGGAGATGTCTGAGTTTCTCTCCAGCATCAGCAATCTGGGCTCTAATCCCTAGTGAGAGGAGGGCAGGAACAAGCCAGCACCTTACCCAGCCCAGTCCTCCCTCCAGACCCCCCAGAGGGGTTCAGGCTCAAAGAGGGCTGGGAAATGCTGTGAATTAATTACCATCAGACCTCCGGCCGATGTTCATCTCTGTAAACAAACATTTTAATATGCAGTAATTAATTACATCTGCCACAGCGACCCTCCTCTCGCTCATCCTTCTTCCTTCTCTTCTGCTCACACTAGACCAACCTCCTCTCCCAGCTGGGGCCTGAAAACCAGGCAAGGCCCCCCTCTGTCCATCTCCTGAGCCTTCTCCCCCAACCATGGATGCAGGTGCTCACATCTGCCATGCTACTCTGCAGCTTTTTGTTCCTTTTTCTGATTCTCTAATGCCTGTCTTTCTGACAGTCCTTTGTTTCTAGTTCTCTCTGCCTGGATTTCCCTCCCCAACAAAGTTTGATCAGGGACACATTCTGGGGAGGGAGGGGAAAATGAGGAAGCCAGTGAATCTGTCCTAGGTGCGTGAGCACATTTTTCAACTCCTCAGTGGTTCAGGACCAAGCTAGTTTACAGGGATTATCCAAAAGCCAGAATAGGCCCTGTTCCAAGAGCCCCCCACCTTCATTCCAAGAGCTTCTGGGAGTCCTTCTGACCACCTTCCCTCATCCTGTCCCACTCCCTTACTCCATAGCAGCTCCTTGTGAAAAATAAGAGGGAAAACAATTGCCCAGGTGAGCCCACCTGGCTATGCCACAATTAACTTCTCACCACAGCCAGGAGTATCACAATTGGATCCACCTTCTGTGCCTCAGCTCTCCCTGGCCTCTGTGCCCAGTTTAGCACCGTGAGCATGTGGGTGGCACCCCCAGCTCCTGCAATGGAGCCTACCCCCTTTCTGGGGAGGTTTGTTCATGTCCTGCCTGGAGGCTGAGCTGGAGCTGGGAAGTGACCAACACCGGATCATAGGGCAGGAACCCCAGATGAGAAGACAAGGGGAGCCTGGAGCCCAGGGTTAGGAGCGACAGGAAGGGTGGGAAGAGGACTAGTGGCCCCAGGGGTCCTGGCCAGCCGGGCGGGGCGGCGTAGGGGGAGCCAGGAGCTGGGTGGGCGGGGTAGGGCGGGCGCCACCAGGCGTGGCGCAGGGAACGGAGCAGAATGAAATGCAGATGCAAAACGTGCTCGTAAGAGTTTCCTCTCTCTCCCCATCTGCCAAAGCCGAGATTTTAATCTTTAATCCATGAGCAATCAGCGAGCAGCGGCGAATGGCACATTACAGATGTTTTACTGTCGCGGGCGCTCGCAGCTTCCGCGCTCCGCGCCGGGCGCCCCCGCCCCGCCAGCCCCCTCTGCTCCCCCTCTGGTCCCTTTTCCTCTCCTCTCCTCAGGTCCCCGCTTAACAATACCCCCCTCACCTGCATGCTCCTGGCCATCAGTGGAGGCGGGAGTGGGGAGTAGGGCCTGGAACTCCGCTGGTGGGGGTACACTCAGGGGCGTGGGCGGGGGGGGGGGTCAGCGGGCGGGTCTTGACACTCATACTTGCGCAGAGGCGGATTGTTACCCGGGTCCAGACTGGGAAGCACGAGGACGCGGGTACCGAGTGCCCTGATAGCTGAGCCCTCCCACTCTCCAATCCTTTCCAGGACCACACGTCCAGGGCCGCTGGAGGCTCCTGCGATTAGCGCTCCAGATGTTCGGCCGCGCTGGGGCTCTGCTTACCAGATGTTGGACACCTCTGTTCCCACGTGTGGGACCGCCATACCCTCTGTGTGATGAGGGAGAAGAGTCCTGTAGTGGTCAGCTTTGGGAATCACTAGGAAAATCTGATGGGATAGAGTCTGTAAAAGCAACTGATAAAATCTCACTTCTTTGGGGGGGAATTCTACCCTCTGCTCTTGTTCGCTCCTCTCCCTCCCACTTCTTGGGAGCTTGAGCGTGGGGAGGAAGATGAGAAGCCCAGGAATGTGATCCTGGAGTCCTTATCAGGCCCTGAGTTCAATCTGCTCTCCCCAGCCCCTATAGGATTCCTGAAAGCCCCGTGGATATATTCTTCCACAGCTCAGCAATCTTTAGCAGTGACTCCAATTGGCAAAGATATATTTGTGTGATTATTTGATTAGTATCTGTCACCTCCACTAGTGCATAAGTTTTGTGAGTTTTCATTTGCTGTGTTCCTTGGATCTAGCACAGAGCCTACTACACATAGTAAATGCTCAATAAATATTTGTTGACTGAATGAAGGAACTCATGCAGTCTACTGTAATCTCGGACCACATTTTCTTGTGCTACTACCAATGAAGACAGACACTTCACCCCAGCTCAAAAGTCTGTATGTGCACACAATCCTCCACCAAGAATCCTCCAAACTGCAGCCCTCATCTCTCTAGGTAACAGCCCATTTTCCCCCTACCTCCATGGTGAGTCTTTCCCATTAGATAGAAGGGATCCCAGAACAAGACTGTGTCTGACACTAAACCAGGGCTCCTGAGGCCAGATGCTTTCTCTCCCCAGACCCCAGAAGCTAAGTCCCTCTGACTTAGCTTTCACCACCCCCCAACTCTTGGATGCCACCTCTCCCCCAGCTGACCTCTTCCCCTTGCACAACCATAACCCTCTCCATGCTCCCCTTACCTCATGGTTCCAAATATAGCCCAATCCCAGCCCAGCCCCAGCCTGATCCAAAGCCCCATTTCACTAACCAGGGTCCATCCCAGCACAAGGACTCGCTACGGGTCTTCTGAAAGAAAAAAGAAAGGAAGGATGCAGAGGCTGGAAATAAGGAGCATAAAGAGGCGGGGAGAAGAAAAGGCTGAGAGGAAAGCTAGACAGACGAAAAAAGAGAGCCACAACAGAGGCAGGAGTGGAGAAAGGCGCAGACAGAGCGTGAAGGGAGCCTGGGAGAAAGAGGCAGATATGCAGAGGGGAAAACAGTGATTGGCGGGGGCAGCAGCAAAGGGGCCCAGACAGAAGGGCACAGGCAGAAAGAGGGGCAGTAGAGAGAGGGGGCAGGCGCTGGAGGCTGAAGAGTCGGGCCAGGGCCAAGATTAGAGACTCGGATTCCCGGGCCGGGGCCGTCGGGGGCGGAGTGGCCCAGGAGCCGGGTCCCACGTAGCCACCGCCGGCGCCTCCTTCCGCCGCAGGCCGCCCGGGGCCTAGGCCGCAGGGCCCACAGGCGGCCCTGAGAGGCGGAGGCGGCGGTGAGGGAAGCCGGAGCGAGAGGCAGCGGAGCCGCGTGTGTGTTTTTATTATTATTATTTCTGATTAAAGAGGAATTCATCTCGTATCTGCCTCCTGCCAGGGGCCGAGGCGCCGCCATTGGGGTTAACGGTGCGGAAGAATACAAAAAAATTTCATTGAGGAGGATTATAAAAGTTACTAGCTGGAACATTAACAGAAGAGTAACTTGTAAAAAATGCAATATTACAATATTCACAAGGACGGCAGAGCGTGGTAAAGCTATAAAATTCAACATTAAAATCTTCCACAGCCTAGATAACCTAGTTAACAAACATGGTATTGGAACTACTTTTCTGTCGAGGCTGAGGGATACGAGACGGGGGCTGATCACACCTCCGCTGCGGGAGGGGGCGGGGGCGGGGCGGCCCTGGACTAGCCCCGCCCCTCCTCTGCCTCAGCCTCCTCCCCGGGAAAATGGGCATAGCCCTATCTGGTGCTGGGGAATGCCTGAGGAAGTGCCTCAAAGCTCAGATAGGGCTGTACACTTAAGAGGTTATTTTTTATGTGAAGAACTGATTAAAGCAGAGAGTGCAGCATGGATTTAGACCTGCAGAATAGGATATATGTTTCTATAACTATTAAAAGATGTGCGTGTGTGTGTGTGTGCGTGCACGTGCAAGATGTGTGTAACCAGGGTCAGGGTATGAATATACATAGTACTTGAGCACATATGCAAGTACAAGTATGTAAATGTATGTAAGTAGGCTATGCAGGGCATGGTGTTGTGAGATGAAGGGTATGTGTTTATAATATGCCAAGTGAATCTCTATGTGAGAGATATGTGTGTATGCACAGAATTTATGTGTGGGCAAGATATGTGTCTAGATAGCACAGGTATTTGCTGAATGTATGTCTGTGCATGGTCTATTCATGTAGAGGATACATATGTCATTTGCAGGCATATTATATATCTTTTAACAAACTGTTTTTATAAAGAGGATATAAACCATGTTTGCATGGTTCTGTGTACATGTGTGTGCAAGGTGTATATATCAGAGGATATTATGTGGTTGTGAACACAGGATGTTTGTGTGTGCAAATAATATCAAAAGTATATGCTTGCTGTGTGTGTAGAATATATATGTATTTACATATAGGCTGTGTATGAGATAGTATGCATAAATGTGTATATGTGTGTGCAGGGCATTCATAACATGTGTGAAGTGTGAGAGTATGAGAGCAGAGGGGATGTTTGTGGATGTGTGTGTCCAGGCATTTTATGTATATTCATGTACCTGTAGTACATATGTATTTGATCAGAATACATATATGTGGAAAGTATGTGTATGTGTGCATGTGTATGAAAAACACATAGACATTTGTGTCAGATTTCTGAGCATGTAGGGTGTGTGTCTGAAGGAGCAGACACAAACTACCTGTTTCTATCAGGCCTCCAAATACTTGTAGTGTGGTGGTTAAGAGCACAGACTCTGGAGACAGATTTCTTGGGACTGAATTGTAGCTTTGTCATGTACAAAGTATATGACCTTGAGCAAATGACTTAACCTTTGGCAGTCTTAGCTTCCCTGTTTGCAAAGTGGGAATAGTAATAATACCTACTTTACAGAGTTGTTATTAAGGTTAGATGAGTTAATACTTACTGTGGTAGGTATAATAATTGCTGACACCCTGCCCCCAAATGTCCACATGCTAATCCCTGCAACCTATGAATATGTTACCTTTATGACAAAGGAGATTTTATAGTGTGATAAAGATCTTGGGATTGATGGATTATCCTGGATTATCCAGGTGGGCCAATTTTATCACAAAGATCCTTATTGGAGGGCAATAGGAGTGTCAGAGTTAAAGGAGATGTGAGAACAGAAGCAGAGATTGGAGTATTGTGGCCATGAGCTAAGGAATGTAAGTAGCTTCTAGAAGCTGGAAAAGGCATGGGAATATATTCTCCCCTAGAGTCTCCATAAGGAGCAAAACTCTGCCAATCCATTTTAGACTTCTGAACTCAAGAAATGTTGAGGCTGTGCATAGTGGCTCCCACCTGTAGTCCTAGCACCAAGGAGATGTTGAGGCCAAGGTGGGAGGATTGCTTGAGACCAGTAGTTTAAGATCAGTGTGCACAACAGAGCAAGACCCATGTCTGGAAAAAATTTTAAAATTTGGCAGGCATGGTGGTGCACGCCTGTAGTCCTAGCTACTGGGGAGGCTGAAGCAGGAAAATCTCTGGCGCCCAGGAGTTGGAGGCTACAATGAACTACGATGCCTTTACACTTGCGCCTGGGTAGCAGAGTGAGACTGTCTCAAAAAAAAAAAAAAAAAAGAGAGAAAGAAAGAAAATGTAAAGTCACAAATGTGTTGTTTTAAGCCACTAAATTTTTACTAATTTGTTATAGCAGCAGTAGGAAACTCACACACTTGTAAAGTGCTTAGAACAGTGCCAAGTACACAGCAAGTACCTTATAAGTATTTGTTAAATAAATTTCTTGGAGGTAATGCTTAAGGCCTCAGGGAAGGCCTAGTTGGCCAGTCAGTTGCCAGAGTTGTCATCTGTCTGTATCTCAGACTGGATCCTGCCAGAGCTTGTGTATTGCCAACATATGCATGAACACATGTACACATACTGAGGAGAAGGGGACGCTCCGTCAGTATCCGCCCCTTGTTCTTCCTTACTAGTGCACTGGGGTTGGGGGTGGTACCAGGGATCTAGACCTATGGCTGAAAGGACTGGGGGAGGAGTCAAGAATCTCTGGGCCTTCCCGTTCACTTGCTCTTTGGCCAGACTTGGCTGAAAAACACGGTTGTGGGGAAAGGGAAACTTGTGCAGAAATTTGGTGCCTTGAGTGCCAGTGACTATACACATCCTCGTGCACAGAAAGCTACATCAGACATTTAGTCACATTAAGCCTTAATTGTAGCCACAGAACTCAAGCCACCAATGGGATGAGTTCCTGCTCAAAGGCCATGGCTCTTTCTTTACTTCTCTGTTTCTATGGCTGTCTACCTCCATTTCCAGCTTGGGGCCCCTATATAATGCTGCCCCTCCTGGTTCCTACATGGGAGCCAGGCATTGGAGGCATTGCTGCAGACAATGGAATGACTGGGTTGATTTTCACACAATGTATTATTTTTGTTCTAGTTTTACTCTTTTTAATTTTTTAGTTGACATATAATTGTACATATTTATGGTGTACATAGTGATGTTTCAGTACATACAATGTATAGTGATCAGATCAGGGTAATTAGCATATCCATCATCTCATTTATCATTTCTTTGTTTTGGGAACATTTGATATCCTCTCTCCTAGCTACTTGAAAATATATATTATTGTTAGCTTTAGTCATCCCACAGTACTATAGAACACTAGAACTTATTCCTTCTATCTAGCTATAATTTTGAATCCTTCAACAAATATCTTCCTATCCCCTTTCCTCTACCCTTCCCAGCCTCTAGTAACCTCTGTTCTACTATTTTTTTTGTGTGTGTGGGGGGGACAGGATCTTGCTATGTTGCCCAGGGTAGACTGCAGTGGTGTCATCATAGCTCACAGCAACTTCAAGCTCCTGGGCTCAAACAATTCTCCTGCCTCAGCCTGCTGAGAAGCTGGGACAACAGGCATGCACCACCATGCTGGCTAATTTTTCTATTTTTTTGTAGAGATGTGGGGTTAGAATCAAACCTCCACTATCAACCATTTGTAAAAACCTGAGCAGCTGTGCAGCTTTAATCCAA